GGAGGGGGAATCACATTTTACGTAAGTGAATGAATTCATCGATGTATCGGTTCAAAGATAAAATCACTAAACACGCTTCAAGGAAGTGGGGGACAAATTTGTACGATTAAACATAGATAAACTTACTTGAGTTATGAACATAAAAAATACAAAACATAGAAGACATTCTAAATTTTGCTGACTTTGGACATCTTTAGGAGACGAAAATAATCCCTACTGAACAACCACAACATATGTATTCTTGGACTCGATTGAAACTTGACTCTGTTAGGTCTCCTCCCCCATCTTTCAATGACGCCGAAGGTCGTTAAACAAAACACAGTTTATATTGTATAATCATACTTAAACTACTCTGGACGAGAGACGTCTCACTACTTATATGTCTCAGTCTGGACCAAAATGGCGGAAAATACTATTTCGATTTTGCCATTGATTAAGATGTTAAGAGTTGTCAGACTGAGTGTTAGAGAGAACTCGGAGTAGAGATTCATCACATTTAAGTATTGAATTTCCTTTATATTAGATATAATGATTAAATGAACGGATAATGAACGTAACAAAAAATATATCCAAATTTAACAACAATATTGCTTCAAGTTCAAATTTAAAATTTATCATCATGGATTAATTGAAATTATGACGTATAAATTGTTTTATTTTGGAAAAAATCTGTCATTATGTTAAGGCCAGACAAACAAATATATGTGTTTCCTGTAACACGTTTGAAAAAATTAGGATAGGTAGGTGGGTATACGTAACAAACTCTATATAAAGGAGAATGATCTTGACTTTAACAGTGCTTCCTTGAAAATTGCCTTTAGAAGTTTAGAGTGGACACAAAAAAATAGGATAGGTAGGGTTACTGGAAACACTTAACATTTTTTGTTTGGCCTAAATATTCTAATAAAGGAGATAAAATAGATGTTTATCTTCCAGATTCTTTCCTTTTTCATGTTGATCATATTCACACTAAATACCTATATAACCATACCGTTATGCTACATCAAAGGTTTGACTTGTTAATCGGACAATGATTAATTGCTCACGACAGCCTCTATAGTGTCGTACTGTCCGTTTGTTAAAAAAAAATCCCGTCAAAGATTTTTTTTTTTGAGGTACCTTCTTCAATTAGAATACGAAAGGGCCGTACTTCATCTTAAGGTGAGTCTTAAAAAACGGCTTCCGTTTGCGTGCTAGTTTAAATGTTCAAATGACGTCATAACTACCCCTGGGAAGTAACCTTTAAAGGGTCTTTCTCGCAGCACTATTCCGTCTTTGCTAATTGCAGAGTTATCTTCTCTAGTGAGCAGGTATTATTAAGTGTTACGTCATTGGTTAGTGAGAGTAACGTCATTAATTTTTGAGAAAATGACGTAATTTTCTCACACAAACCAATGACGTAACAATCAATACCTGCTCACAAGAGAAGATAACTCTGCAATACGCAAAGACGGAATTAAGGCATACGGACCTGTGGGTATGAAGACGCAGTACATGTATTTTCGAGAATTTCCCATGTGTATAAATGACTGAAAATTAACGGGAGCTATGGACTCACTGAATCGTAGATCAGAAAAAGATGGCTGATCTCTCAAGTTTCGCCCCTTTTGGAATATAAAACCACATAATCTGTTCTGTACCATTTCATCGATGTTGTGAAAATTTCACCACAAGGGAGATAACCCGTAAATTTGATATCGATTCATTAAGAAAACGCCTGTGGTTCAAGGGACGTAGCCCATGTGTAAGAATAAGGGACGCGTTAATGGATTATCTCCCGTCACGTACCTTACACATGTAAAACTCTCTCCCACTGACCACTTAAACCTCATCTTTACCTCAGGTCACCACTGACCATAACATTCCAGACACGGGTCGAATGGTCAAGTCAGGACAATGACTTGGTAGACAATACAATTACCTGTCAGCTGGTCGTCGATGTAAGTTTTTTCTTGTCCACTGTCCAGAACAGAGCGATCAATTTAGCAATAAAACTTGCTGACCAGCTGCGTCTCGTGGCATACACGTGGTCGCCGACATTCAGCACAAATGATAGCTGTGGTTTGTGTTGATGATCTAGGTTATTTATGATTCGACCAACTGATTTTTTTTTTATAATAAAACGGGGTCATTCTTTCTTTTAAGTTTAGATATCGAGTTAAGTAAACACGAGTGGATTACATGTAAAATTAACACCTTGTATGGATGATTTTGTGTTGAACTCTGTAAAGACGAGGGCATTTTCGTGTAAGCACATGTACATATCTCAACTGTGAAAAAAGAACTTATATTAAGCATTTATCGTATATTTCTCAGCCGCGATATATACCCGTGGTGTAAGCATTAATTACTAGCATTGTCTTACGTCCTTCTGGGGAATAAATGAGTATAAGAATTTATTTAGTTCGAACATTTATCAGGATATTTGCGAGGAAACTCATTTTGTATAGAGATATAACGCCCTCGGAATTCATTTTATTGAAACAAATAAGGTATAGATTTCCTATTAACTATTTCCAGAGTCTAGTTAATGGAAATTCCACACGTCAGATTAAAATGTCAGCATACCGCTTTTTCTCCCCGATCTTTCACGAGAGATTGTGATAAAACTTGAAAGGCTGACACACTTATTGGAATGACACCACAAATATATGTATTTTGTAATGTAGATTTTGTATAACAGGAAAGAGAATAGTGTGTTTCCACCGGGGATCGAATCCGCGATCCCTAGGTTCCTGGTCGGACGCTCTACCACTGAGCTAGTCCGAATTATTCTGACGTTTTATCGACTTTTTCATATCGGTCTGTCGTTAATCGACGACAGGCCGTTATGAAAAAAGTCGATAAAACGTCAGAATAATTCGGACTACCACTGAGCTAAAGGGAAATTCCCCCTAGTTCGAAGCCTGAAGGCGACCGTAATCCTATGTTCAATTAAAATCTGCCACACTTCTTCCCCTTTTTAAAATGTGTTCGAACACCACAACCCAGGTTCTAACTCCCTGTCACCACAGGGAGGGTCACGGACACCATTTGTTACAGGAAAGAGAATATTGTGTTTCCACCGAGGATCAAACCCGCGATCCCATACTTCCTAGTCGGACGCCCTACCACTGAGCTAAAGGGAAAGTCCCTCTAGCTCGAAGCTAGAAGGAGACCGTCATCCTATATACAGTTAAAATCGCCGCACGTCAACCTCTTTCCATTCCTCTCCATAACGAACAATACATGAGTTAGGATTTAAACATATTTTATTGCAAAGAAGTATTTACAATAAAATGGACAAGAGTTTTCATACGTAGCACAGTCCTTTTCTTCAAACACATGAATATCAACAATAGCTCGATAAGGCAATTTATAAAATATATATAAAATATATTTCCATATGGAAATAGAAAGGCGGGAGTCAGAAAAGAAAACAGAGACACGAAGTAAGCAGGTAGAGTCAGAGGGGAACAGAGCGAGATGGGGAGATAAAGATGATCACATTTAGTCAAACCGGTTACATTTGCTAATATATATTTTTGTAATTAAGGCTCAATGTTCGATCGCGTTATATAGGAGTAATCTAAAGTTAAATCTTCACAAAAAGTACTTGAGTAAATTGAAGCTTCCCCAGGTTTATAATGCTCTCTTCATTAATGGCTTCTGTCCTTTATTATACCTACTTATGATTAGTCTGGTTCATCACATAACATGGTCAGTGTTATCACAAACCATCCAAACAGTTTATTTGTATTAATTAACTGTATGTTGCAGAACTTCTCTAATGTAATTACATTTCAAGGGATATGGCTTTATATAAGATTTATTCCTATTTACCTGTGTACTAAAAGAATGTAATGAAATAATAATAAAAAAAAATGCTGATGACATCTGATTCCCCTTAGCGATCATTTCAGTATCACAAGTGAGTAATTTTTTTTTTTTTTTATTTGAAAGCTTTTTAAATATGTACAATAAATCATCTCTTTACATATTTATATCCGTTGGTACTTCGTTATTTAATCTGCAAAAGTAAGCCCTCCTTTTCATAACCAGCTTTATCCGGATTTCATTCCGAACGTCTTTTTGGAACCGACATTGTTTCAGCCAATCAAGAACGGTTGCCTGTCCACGTGACTATTCAACCAATCAATAGAGCGTATTATCAATTGTTCGCTCACGTGAGTTTTAGCGGCGGTAGCTACGAAACGACGACATTTGTAGCAGCTGTCAGATATTCTCTCAGCAAGATTTAATCGAAAAATGGAAGCATCACACATAAAGAAGGCGTTGCGCACACGCAGAATGGAAAGTAAGTGTACAAATGACACAGAATTTAATATATCATATGAGTGACACTCGTTATTTTGAGAATATTTAAATATCGCAACTTTATGTTAACCCAAATTGAATCACATGGGTTCGTTACTTGTAAATATCTGAAAGACACATATGCTATGGGTCACAGCACACATAAACATACACCGTAATGTGACCCATATCAGTATAATACGCATATGTGTATTTCAGACATTTGTAACGAACCCGTGATTGAATCGACTGTCATCGCTCGGTTTCTTGTTTGTAAAGGGCTATTAAGAAGCCAAATTTAGTTTTTGTTATGTAAACAAACATATATTTAATGCATGCATACGACAATTTGTATAGATTTATTCATTATTTTAAGGTGCCAAACATAAGATCGATTTCGCGGATATCAGCACCTTTGACATTGTCCCAACTCCCCCAAAGGGGCCAAAACCTGAAGCAGTCAGGTTACAAAGACGCCACAGAGTCCATGCCCAGAAATTAAACACATACGAGGCAAAATATAGATCTTCACAAGACTCTGAGACACATAAGACACAGCATGATGCTGTAAATGGTTCCGGTGATTTTCTCAGGACTGTTGACCCAGCGTTTCCCTGGTATTGCCCTACTCCAAGAACCGGAGACACATCATCATCTTACGACAGGGAAGAACATACTGTTCATAAGCAAGCCACTTGCAATGGTAAACGGATCTTCACAATGTATTTATATTTACGATACTTAATCCTGAATAATTTGTAAGGGTGTTTGAGACTTGTGTCACAAATCCCTATTTTTTTATGAATATTAAAAAAAAAAAAACATTGGTAAGAAAGCCAAGATGGGCCAACTTTTACGACTTTATTCGAATTAATACTACTTTTGAAAGGAATAAATACGCTTTTCTTCGCGTAATACCGCGGTATTAAACATTATTTTCCGTTCAAAAGTTGAACCTTCTATTCTTTCGTACTTTTTAAAATTTTCTTTGTTTTATTTTTTCGCAGATCCATCCACTAGCTCATCTCGCAAACAAGCTATCAATACCAAGTATGTATATATGTTTAAACGAAGCTTCGTATCACATTTCATTATACATTTAAGCTACACCAAAGACACTTGCCGAAATATGGTTTACAAAATCTTCATTAAGATTCATCAGTTTGGAAATAGAATTAATGTAATATCAATTGTTACTTTTCTACACAAAAAAGTCTACGATTTATACGTGTACATTGTTTGTGTAGAAAACAAAACATTGATTTTGGATCACAAAAGCTTTTAAACGAAAGAAAAAACCCACGAACAGGGCATTTTTTTTAATTGTTAAAAAATAATACCTTATTTCTATGACAATTACAATCGTTACAATGGTACAAGATACAAAATATAGTTTTAATCATGAAATAAGTCAGACATATAAAAATATCCAATGGGCATAATGTAACAAAACATGCATTAAGAAACAAAAGCACAACAAAATTGAAATAAAAGTAAACAAACATACAGGAAGAAAAACAAACCCATAAAAAAGCGCACACAAAAACAAAAAACCACATTTAACTAAAATCAGATATTCTGAATAATGATTAAAAAGAATGATATTTGTAAATTACAATTGAGTCTGTTAAGATCCTGATTCCTTATGTAAATTCGGTAAAATAATTTAGCTCAGAGGACAGCTGAATGGGAGTCCCCTACCTACCAGGTCCTCTGGCCATAGAAGAGAGCAAAACAAAATATCTCAATAAGTTATAATAAACTATAATAGTATACAACATTTATATAGCGCCCTATATAATTTGTAACATAACTCTAAAGCGCTTTAGAGTTAACAATTACAATCGTTACAATGGTAATTTAAAATGCCTACTTATAAATTCTTTGATTTTAATTATTTTAAATTATAAAGTGACTTAAAGATGTATATACTTACATGAAGTTTACAAACGACTGTTCCATAATTAGCCCTATAAGGTACCCAGCCCCAGGACCCAGAGAACAACTGGCTCCAAGTCCTTTCCCCGTCAGCAAGAACAAACTGGCCCCTGTGGTGGACCCAAAGAAGAATGCTGTACCAAAACCTGCTCGTGCGAGCCCTCGTGCGAGCCCCCGTGCGGGCGGTCTTGCAGGCCCTCGTCCGGTTAAGGCTAAACACATGCTCGTTCACAAAGAAAGTAAGCCATTATCATATTATCTCATGTTTCTTTTGGCTGAATAATTTCTTGTTCGTTTGATATTTCATTTACTTTCAAACTTGTTTCTTGTTTTATTTATATTTTGTATTTTTTTTTATTCAATTTGGATTTAGAGAATTTCGAGAACCAAAAATCTTTGTCTTTTGCTAGGATTCGGACCCAACTTCGATCCCGTATAGGGCACAAAACGTCGGATATAAAGACTCCGTGATTGTGTTTTGTTTTATTTATTTTTGTTTTGTTTTGTTCTCATATGTGTGTATTTGTTTGGTTTTAATAAGATGGGAAGACCACTAACACGGATCAGCCGACAAGAATATATCTTCCTGAAGCGGTACACAACAAAAAGTATGTAGATATTGTCAAAACGGGAATATGTGCTGTTAACTTACTGGTACCAGCTAACTGTGATGTCCAATAGGTATTATATGGTAATTTTTAGTAATGATAATAATAGCGATATGGTCAGTTTTAAATGCGAGAATAAAGTCGGCATCAGTTCCGCGCTTTCACCAGGAGACAAACACGAACATATTGCAGCCTCCCAAAACACACGTGCATGCATCTTGCACACAGGAGAGGCCGTCCTTAAATGAACAATATTAAACCAAACAAAACCGTTGTCTTCTGAACTGTTCTGGAAAATGTATGTATCTGAGTTGTACATACATGTGTAAACGATAAACATCACACTTTGGTTCTACCCTCAGCCCTATAAGGTACCCAGCCCCTGGACCCAGAGAACAACTGGCTCCAAGTCCTTTCCCCGTCAACAAGAACAAACTGGCCCCTGTGGTGGACCCTAAGAAGATTACTGTACCAAAACCTGCTCGTGCGGGCCCTCGTCCTGTCAAGGCCGTGCACGCGCCTGTCTACTTTGATGGTAAGACGTTATTTTCAGATTAAATATATGCAGTTACTTTAGACGTACTAGTAATTCAGTTAAAATTGACATCATTGTCCCTATTTTATATCACACTATTTTGGTGTATATCCGGACAAATTTTACACTTTGCTATATTAGCATGTATGTATATTACACTGTCATAGTACTTTAACCCTCAGATAGTAATACTTGTGTAACATAATAGTAATCATTATCTACCTCCAGTTTATAAATTTAACTTCAAATGTTACCTGTCTGTGATTACAAATGTTACCTGTCTGTGATTACACATGCTACCTGTCTGTGATTACACATGCTACCTGTCTATGATTACGCATGCTACCTGTCTGTGATTACAAATGCTACCTGTCTGTGATTACACATTCTACCTGTCTGTGATTACACATGCTTCCTGTCTGTGATTACAAATGCTACCTGTCTGTGATTACAAATGTTACCTGTCTGTGATTACAAATGTTGCCTGTCTGTGATTACAAATGTTACCTGTTTGTGATTACAAATGTTGCCTGTCTGTGATTACAAATGTTACCTGTCTGTGATTACACATGCTACCTGTCCGTGATTACACATGCTACCTGTCGATTACACATGCTACCTGCCTGTGATTACACATGCTACCTGTCTTTGATTACACGTGCTACCTGTCTGTGATTACACATGCTTCCTGTCCTTGATTACACATGCTCCCTGTCGATTACACATGCTACCTGCCTGTGATTACACATGCTACCTGTCTTTGATTACACGTGCTACCTGTCTGTGATTACACATGTTACCTGTCTGTGATTACAAATGTTACCTGTCTGTGATTACAAATGTTGCCTGTCTGTGATTACAAATGTTACCTGTTTGTGATTACAAATGTTGCCTGTCTGTGATTACAAATGTTACCTGTTTGTGATTACACATGCTACCTGTCCTTGATTACACATGCTTCCTGTCGATTACACATGCTACCTGCCTTTGATTACACATGCTACCTGTCTGTGATTACACATGCTACCTGTCCTTGATTACACATGCTACCTGTCGATTACACATGCTACCTGTCTGTGATTACACATGCTACCTGTCTGTGATTACACATGCTACCTGTCTGTGATTACACATGCTACCTGTCTGTGATTACACATGCTACCTGTCTGTGATTACACATGCTACCTGTCTGTGATTACACATGCTACCTGTCTGTGATTACACATGCTACCTGTCTGTGATTACGCATGCTACCTGTCTGTGATTACAAATGCTACCTGTCTGTGATTACAAATGCTACCTGTCTGTGATTACTTATGTGCTACTTTACTTTTGTACCTTAGTTGTTTTTACTTGATAAATTATCCTGTGATATTTGCTTGCTATTTTCTTTACTAGATTTGAATTTACCTGCATGCTGTTTATCCATGTTATATCCCTTATTTGTATCCCTTTTTTTTGCAAGAATAGCACTACAGTGTTAATGTTTATTGTTTTAAATATGCGACGTTCAATAACAATTCTTGTAGTTTCAAAGTGCGCCAAGATACACGCATGCGCCAGACACAGTAACTGGATGGGATGTCGGTTTTTTCTTCATTGAGATTGGGAAAATATTCCTCATTTTTTTGTCATTTTGGCCGGGGAAAAAAGGCACGTTTTGGCTAGGGATAATAGCATGTATTCGGCTGTAAAACTGAGCAAAGAAAACACTGTATACACACGTCTAGATTCCTTAAAGGCATTATTGTGTGATTTTTCATTTCCTGACAGGAAATAAAAGACAAAAATGACATTTAACTAAAGTTAAACTTTTATTACAGACGCCGAATCCAGTTGTGTGTTGACACGGATGTACGGCTGTAGGTATGTACGTGTTTATATTGTTTTGAGTATTTAGAGGAGATGAGTATTAACATCAGCTTCAGTTATTAATAATTAAATTAAACAGGTTTAGTCACTAACTATTTTGCTTGGTAGTCCACAGGACTAGTTGAATAGATGATTTACTAGTCCTTCGTCAAAGTAACTAGTCCAAGATTTCCTGATAAGGAAACATCGCGATCTACAGAACGAAACATAATAAGAAATCGACTGTAGGAGACTTAAAATAACTATGTCACAAAAATATGGTGAAGTTTTAGGAAACTTTTTTTGACAATTATTATGCAACATATCTGATTTTAAGCAGTTTTCTAAATTTTAAATAGGAATATTCTTATTTCATAACACAAATTTTTATAATCGTTTTTGTTTCACAAGTCGAAAGGACCAGTTAGGTTAGGTGATTCACTAGTCCTTGCTAAAATCTACTTAGTGTCGATCCCTTGCATACATATGTACCCCCCCCCCCCCCCCCCCCCCCTAATCTGACATAGTGTTTAAATTAAGTGCGTTGCCGTGTTTATAAGACGTTGGTCATATCTTGTTGCTTAGATAGCTATGGTGCTGTAAATTACATAAAAAACTATTAGGTTTAAAAAACGTAAAAGAAATGCTAAACATATTTTTTTTGTCGATAATGACGTAATTGAAAAAGTTGTCTATCTCTATGATTTGATTACAGGCAAACTCACGCTTTCACTTCAAAATTAAGTTACCTTGATGTTGTTGATACATGGGATAGTGTATCACAGTAACTAATACAAATTCTTGATGTGGAAATCTATGAAATCAGACCGACTTTACTTATGGTATCATATATCCATAAGAATGTGTATGGGTGACCATAATTTTATATATATATATTTTTTTTTTACAGAGATGAATATACAACCGACAGTGTAATACCAGTGAAGAACAGCCGTCCAATCAGAAACCCATCCCCGGGGCCCCGGGAACAGCTGCTCCCCAGTGTATTTCCTGTTAACAAGAGGCGTCTACCATCTCTCGCCAAACACGGAAGAGTTGTCGCCCCTTTGTGTGGATAGAGTCACAGTTTTCTTAAGATTTTTTGACATTTTTTACCAGAAATTCAAACGATGATAAAAAGTATGGTTATGAAAACTGAATAATTACTACGCAAATGAATTTTCAACTGTTTTGTATAACATCAAATTTATATTATATTTGATAGTTAAAATATACAACATTTGATATAGCGCCCTATCTAGCTAACACAAGCCACTCTAAAGCGCTTTACAGTACATAGATATACATTTAATACAATTAGCATATACATTAATAAATTCAATGTTTTTGAGGAATTTGCAGGAGCTGCCTTATCAGGCGCTAACTACTAGTCCTATGCCACCTGGCTAATATCTCCCTATGTGTGTATGCAATCATAATCGATAAGCAGTATATAATCGGAAGTTGTAAACCGATCGATGATCGATTGCATAATCGGTTTATGATTTTATGGGACTGAATACCCATATTACGTGATAATACTGCCATAACATCAATAGACAGAGTTGTTCACTATACATCAAGTTACTTTCTTTTATAATGAAGGATATCAACTAAATTTTATGCATTTTCATCAATCATATAGTAAAAATCATCTTAGCATATTTGTTTTTCTGATGCAATCGATTGAAATATAGGACCCTATATATTGAAATCATGATTAAAAGAGTGCTGGACAAGTGAAGTAATCGTGCGCGTGAATGTTGTTTTATCCTTTGTGTGTATTGAGATGGTTGAGAGGAGCAAAATGATAGACATGACTATTTATATATATATTTAATATAATCAAAACTTTTGAAAATGTGAATAAAATGTAAGAAATTTTACATCAAAGTGTTTCGTTTTCTATTTCATTTCATTTCAAAAGCACGTGATTTTCTAACCAATATTTGTTGGTCTGTCGTTTAAAAGAAGCAATATTCAAATACGAGCCAAGTGGCTAAATTAAAAAAAAATGTAGTTATAGTAAATTGACCTCGAATCTATGAAAATTATTAATAGTTCTTTTTACACAACCAATAAGAGTTTCTATGTGACGTTTCGATGACTAGTAATGTACACTGTCACCATCATCAGACAAATGACCAGCGAAGCGTATGCACACAAAGGTGTTAATGTGTACGAGTTGTCCACAAAATCGATGTCGGTTCGGCTACGCTGTAAGTGTATGTACAATAGTTGTAATACATGTACCGAAATGACTCGATTCAGCTGCGCTTTGTTTAAAACATTGTCTCATAGACGTACGAGAGTCTTTGAGCCCCCTCATCTCGTACACATTTTACACCTTTGTGTGCATACGCTTTACTGGTCATTTGCCTGATGAAGATGACAGTGTACATATCGTACTAGTCTTCGAAACGTCACATAGAAACTCTTATTGGTTGTGAAAAAAGAACTTTTCATAATCCATGCTTACCAACCTGAAGAAAATGTTTAGAAAGAATCTATGAAAAGTATTTCTTCACATCAGAGTTTTGGAATAATGTTACCAACTGTCTAGAACGTTTGGTACATTGACGCAGAGGCGCATCTTGTTATTTGTGCGAATAGTTTCATAAAACTTGTGATTTATATAAAAAAAAAAAACGTGTAAAAAAAGGACCAAAGGGGTGAAATCAAGACTTCGACACTAACGGCCACAGTGACACACAGGGACCTGCCAATTTGTTACAGCTATTTTTGGACCTAAAACAAGATGTGTTATGGGTTTTAGATCAAGATTCGGTAAAAATGACACCCGGATGATGAAATTGGAACCGAGGGGCCTCGGAGAACTGACTCGCCCGTTAACAACGACCCCTTGAGAGGTCAATTTTCCATGTGCAGCGCGTGGAAAACAGACTCCTAACAGATTCCTGAAAACGTTAGCTCACCTTGTACAAAAGACTTAAGTGCCCATGTCGTACCTTGGCGTCCATCGTCCAACCAAATCAGGTCACTGTGACCTAATTCTCAATGTTTTACTTACACTAATAGAAGTTTTCATGGGGTCAGAACTATGTGCATAATTATGATTAACCTAATTAGGCAATTGTGACCTACTTTTGAAAAATTGCTCTACATTATTAAAATTTGTCATTGGATTCAGAAATGAAATAACTGAAAAAATCTATATTATTCAATATATTACGAAAATAATCAACGTAAAACTGTTACCTAATTAGGTCATTGTGTCATACTTTGGTGAAAATTGACCTGCATTATTAAAAGTGTCAACAGCTTTAGAAATTAACTTAAAACTGTTAATTTACCTAGTTAGGTCATTGTGACCCAATTTTCATAGTTAGGTCACTGTGACCCAATTTTGTCTAACGACAACCCAGTGAACCCGGTTCCATTCTCCAAGGGGGTCCATTATCAACGTTACCACGACCACGTCTGTTGGTTTTCTCCAATTATTTCGGTTTGATTACACATTAGACACCCAGGCCTGCACGCTACAATCCATGCCTGCGCGCTACCATACAGGCCAACAAAGCCGACTTCGGTGATAGCTGTAACATAAATTTCATCTATATTATAAGATGTTAGGGTCAAGCTAATTTCGTTTTAGTTTCACGCTTTGTGAAAACTATCTCGTAATAAATGTTACAGTTTATAGGAAGGAAGGAAGGAATAGAGTGTAAGAAATAATGGTGACAGAAGAACAAGAACACATTAGGCCTACATGTATATGATTGGGGATAGAAAAGAGATGTACTGTATAGTTTGTCTGAGGAATGTATGACGTAATGACAATTCTAGAATATATAATGACTCCCTAACATGAGTATATGTAGGGAAAATATCAACCCAAGATGTGATATTTTTATTGTCTAACCCGAGGGTTGTTCGAGCCGAAGGTTACACTTCCAACAATCGTATCCCGAGGGTTGGGGTTTCTGTGGCATCGTCTCAAATCTTTTCAATGTTATGTTTGAATCAGTAGGGTTTAGCATATATAGTGAGCGTTTGCATATATCATTTCCTTTCGGGAGCTTATTGTGACGTCATATTTGATTATCTTTTTCAAAATCTACATCCTGTGGTCAAAAGACCTCCTAGTTATTGCATGGTAATATAATGTGCTCTGATCATAACAGGGGTAGTGTGTTTGAATCAAATGATATTTTTTTGCATAAAAATGGAAAGATAAATTGAGCAAAGCACTTAATTATAGTCTCGATCGTTTCACGCACTCTCTCTCATATTGAAAATATGGAATGAGGGAGATCTCCCTCATTGGAGGTTTCTTAGGTTGTAACCTATGATATACGTTCTGGCACATTTATGAGAGTCATAGAACAACTTTAGGAGAATTTGAATACCCAACAGGCTGCACGGGCCATACATCCAAAATTGCATTAAACATGGATTCAACAACAGTTGGTTTCCCGTTGATTCGCCCGTCCCTTTTGTATATATGTTACTTACGAACCACCGTACATAAGTTTACAAGTCAATATGTATTGACCGAAGACTGAAAGATCAAAGTCCAAAACAACATCCCTTTGTCATGTCTACAAATAGCACTTTAATTACACGGATATAGATATACAATATAATGTATATACATTACACAGTATGCAATAGTTTTAGCAGTTACGTCAACAGGAAGATTGATAAGACATGAAAAAATAAGACAATTTATCATCGATTTTAGTTAGATTTTTTCCTTTTTTCTCATTCGAACATGGATTTTAACGATTAAGGGGAATTAACTCTTGCAAAGCAGGATTCCAAAGTCCGCCCCAACCCGTTTTCCGGTTTGTCTTTTATTAGCTGCATTTGACCTTTGAACTGACAGTTGTCATTCGGTTCGTGATTCACGAGTAGAGATACATATTTAATATGGGCATTGCTCAGTCTTTACCCCGGGTAGGGGCGCAACCAATTGTGTGAGGAAATTTACAAACAAGACTTTCAAGATGATGGAAATATGGTCATTCCTGGGAATTTTGCTTTTGTATGCCATTTTTCGTCTGCTTCACTGGAGTAGTATGCCTACAGCCCCAACGCTGTACTGGCAAGAAGGGTCCAAATTCGTTCAAGATATCATCAGCTCCTGCCCATTTTTAACTGAACCGTAAGTTTTTCAGTGTTCAAATTACTTGTTAAATATTATTTAAGTTATTGTTATTCATAATCGTACTCCAGGTTTTGTGTTTTGATAAGTGTTATTGTTACAGAAAGCCTAGATCATAGATGTCTGACGCCAGTAAGCTTGGTCCTATCGAATTACATTGTCATTGATCAGTTCTGAGTATTGAACACAATGATCAATTCTGAGTATTGAACACAATGATCAATTCTGAGTATTGAACACAACGCCGACTTCTATATACGTTTCGGTACCCGATATTTGTAAAGACGAAAAATCCCGAGTAATCGTAAAACTTAAAAAGAGGGGTACATAAAGATTCTTTCTTAAGTTGCCAAATAATTTAATAAGAAGCTTGTCCATGTCTAGACTACTTAATTAAGAGTCTTTCCAAAAGGGTTCAGAATCCCCAATCTCATCCCCAATGTGATTGATGATTCTTTTTCTCTTACCCTGACATATGCAGCACTTTTGATGCAATGTTGGTGTTTCAGGATTGATTCATTGTTGATGAGACGTCAATGATCGACTTCATGATTGTGGGGTCAGGTTGTTCGCCCTAAACCCTGTTTTCCCCGGGTCGTTTGGCCCTAAACCCTGTTTGCCTCGGATTGTCTTGCCCTAAACCCCATTCACCCAGGGTTGTTTCACCCGAAATTCCGTTCGCCCAGGGTTGTTTTGTCCAAAACCCTGTTCACCCCGGGTCGTTTCAGCCTAAACCCTGTTCGCCCCGGGTCATTTTGCACTAACTTGTCTTAAGTTGTTTTGCACTAAAACACTTATAGGGGGGGATATTATTTAGATCTGTTTAGTTGTGTATGGCCAATATAGTCTAATTTGAAGTTTTTATGCCCCCACCATAAAATCGGGGGGCATAAATTATATACCTAGTGTTGCCCATGTCCGTCCCCGTTTCATCCCGATTCAATGTAAACATCCGTCCCGTCCCGATTTAATATAAACACTTAGCAACTTCATTCTTTGACAGATTTTGGTCAAACTTTATGCAAAGGTCAAGTATGAGTATACTTTGGACATTGTAGTGTTTCAGGGTTCCAAGGCCAAGGTCACTGTTGCTATATATAGAAAATCATCAACTGATTCAATTTAAACACTTAACAGCAACTTCATTCTTCCACAGATTTCGATTAAACTTTGTGTGCATGTTTCAGGGTATCAAGATCAAAGTTGTTGTAACTTTTTATAGAACACTGAAATTAATTTCACATGGCAGCGGGGACATTAATGTCTTACAGACATTTTCTAGTTTAAGTCTCCCTTAGCCTTAGATCTTCACATACAATGTAACATGAAATTTTTTCAACAAGACATTTGCTTGTAAAACCATGGACTTATAGATCTAGTTCTGTGGTGAAAAATGAAAAAAGTGAGCTTTTGAATAATTAAATATATATTTTCAACTGTTATATTCATAACTTAATTAAGATGTTAGAAAACTCTTTCATGCCCAGGGGTGTAGGATAGGGAAATTCCACCTGAAGGGTTTTCAAATTTGGTAAATATGAAAATCCAGAGGATGAAATTCTCCTATCCTACACCCTATGGCATGAAAGTGTATTTTTCTCTCATTCCAACTACCAGAATACGCTTAGAAACCATGAACTGCATTATGACTGGCTACCATTTTGAAAATATCAATTTTTCCCCTGAGCTTTTTAGACGAAAGTTAATCTGTAAATATATCATAATAGGTTTTAATTTGATCACAATGCCTTTTCTGCATTGCAGCATCAGAGTTTTCTAAATTTATGACGTCACATCATTGTTGTGTGATGTCACGTCACGTGAAATGAGGTGAAAGTTAGAAATTTCCTACACCCCTTTCTTACCCTGGACATCTCTATCTTACACACACAGAAATGAGAGAAATAATTATATTAGGGTAAAAGAACCTTGGATCTATGGATTGTCATACAATTGTTATGACTGGGCAATCTCTCATTCCTGTACACAGTAGCTAGGCATGGTAGTCTAGTGGTAGGACGTCAGACACATGTCTGAAGGGGTTCGAGTCGCGGCCAGGCACTGTGTTGTATCATTGAGCAAGATACTTAATACTCTGCTTGTTCCAGTCTACTCAGCTGTAAATGAGTACGTGGTTGGGCTGTGCTAGAATAGTAGAATGCTATAGCTGTGAGGCCGAAATGGCTGCACCGGCTGTATGCTCCCCAGGGAGTTGAGACAGATATTGGCTGGTTGCAAAGGCCCTATAACCCAGATAATCATTTGTGAACCGCTTTGAGACGACCTTCGAACTAGATTTTGAAAAAGCGGTATACATATATATATATATATATATAAGAACCTCAAATTATTATTATTATTATTACATATGTGATATGTCACAATAAGACGACTGTCATGATGCATTACGGTAGAGGGAAAATTCTGATATGATAATATAACAGGAGAAAGAGAAATGCAACAGCCAGACCAGGATTCAAACCCAGGACCCTCTGAACTCTAGACGGACACTCTACCAATTGAGCTACCTTGTCGCTGATGATCATCCCAGTCCATTTACGCTACATTCCTCTCTCCTTTTCCTGAGTCTTCACCCCCGAAGACATTCACTATTTACAACCCAGATTAGGGTATCCCCTTGCTAAGCGTACACCCAATGTTTGAAACAAGGGTTGGTCACACTCACAGGCACCACTGTAAAAGGAGAGGACAAATGGGTGGCCAGACCAGGGTTTGAACCCGGGACCCTCCAAATTCTAGACAGACGCTCTACCAATTGAGCTACCTGATTGCTCATGATGGACCCAGTCTAGTTCTGCTACAATAAAATTAAAAACTAACATAATGTATTAAAAGTAGCCGTTTAAGTCAGAAAGACTGGATTATCTTTCCCAGAAAAAGTTTGGCAAAAAGAAACAGTTGTAGCATACTTACCAAACTTTTGTAATTTCCATAGGGGAGAATCCGCATTCTCAAAATTGAAAACTTAAACAAAATGTTTATATATATATATGCATATATACATATATACACATATACCCGAAGGTAAAAAATAACACTTCAGAATAGCATCTTTTGAAAAAGTACATTTAGCTTGAGCACAAAATCCATGCTTGAGCATGAGAATGGTTCCATGAAAACGGCCCCAGGTCTTTTTCTCGATACGAAGAAACGGAAATAGGCCTGGTCGAGGCCATTGAACCAGAAACTTGCCGAATAGTGTATTCCAAAAATACGAACTTTGTCTGTTTTATATCAATACCAAATTGAAACATACAGACTTTTTTAAAAAGAATTATTCCAACCACAGTTTCAGAAAACCTTTTGTCTTAAAATGGAAAACGGCTAGGTGGTATCAGCTCAATACAAACTTGACCCAAAGGGAGTTAGTCTGTAGCCAAAGGGAGTTAGTCTGTAGCCAAAGGGAGTTAGTCTGTAGCCAAAGGGAGTTAGTCTGTAGCCAAAGGGAGTTAGTCTGCAGCCTTAGCTTGGAAACTGCCAAATGTGTAAGCCTGCAGTGATCAAAGTAGAGGTATGTTAGGACAGGCCTTGTCAGAGTGTTCAAGTCTTAGGTCAGCTGGCTGGTTAAGATTTTGAAAACCTGCCCGTGTGAAAGTACTGTAATATTAAGAAATTCTGCGCAGTCTGCAGCCTTAGCTTGCTAAATGTGTAAGCCTGCAGTGATCAAAGTAGAGGTATGTTAGGAAATGTCTTGTGAACAGGCCTTGTCAGAGTGTTCAAGTCTTAGGTCAGCTGGCTGGTAAAGCTTTTGAAAAATTATGAAATTCTACACAACTGAATCTCATTGGGATTGAGACTGAATTTTGGCCTCGGATGTACGTCTGTGTACAACCAGGGAAAGGACCTGCAGGTTTTTGACAGCACAAGTGGGAAATCAATACCAGGAACGGATGATGCTGAAGCTGATCATTAACTGTCCTATCCTCTGACCGTGGTCAGTCTCCGTACCCGTCTTGATTAAACTGCCTTTAATAATAATTGGTCAATGGGAAATGGTCAAGCAGCGTTATTCCTATTCAATGAAGGTCTGTGTTAACGTTATTAACCAATTCACCCCTAAAGTCCCATTTGAACCTTACCATATCAATGACTGGGCAAGTCCAGTTTAGATATGTAGGGGTGTAACTGAGTTAACATACATGAACATCAGCAATGTTGATTAATTATCATTTAGTTATCAATTTGATCCTGGCCAGAAATATAAACAAAAGTTTATAAATGTATAAATTCAGTATTTTGTGACGAGATGGTCCCGCTGGGTATATATAACATTTACAGCTGTTGAATAATTCATAAAACATACATATTTATCATTCAACCGCTGGAACAGCTTGTGGTATAGTTATACAAAATGTTAATATAACATTTCTGGTGGAAGTAGGAAGTATTGTGGTTATTTCAGGATATCCTCCTCAGTTTCCTAATCATATTTGTCAATATTTGATACAGACAATTACAGTAGCCAGTTTAGCTGACGAAAGCCCCAGGCTTATAATGATAAATTTTTGTGGTTAGGCCATGGTAATTGTACAAATATTTTGACTCTATTTTACGCTATATAAATCAACTTGCCCTGAGCCATATGCTATCATTGATAGATCTACAGGATAATTAATTACTCAATGTTTAAAGAAAGAAATAAAAAAAATAAAACTTCCTTGAANGGGGGGGGGGGGGGGGGGGGGGGGGGGGTTGAAGGAATTTGAGATATTTTTTTTATGATTCAAATAGGGCTACATAGAAATAAAGAGAGCTTTGTTACCCCATCAAGATCCCTGCATCCCTAAATTAATGGGAGGCACGGTAGTCTAGTGATAGGACGCTGGGCTCCTGACTGAAGGGCTGCGAGTTTGAGTCACGGTACGGCACGGTACTGTGTTGTATCTTTGAGCAAGATACTTTAATCCACTTGTTCCAGTCTACTCAGCTGTAAATGAGTAGGTGGTTGGGCAGTGCTAGAATTGTTGAATGTTAGCTGTGAGTGCCGAAGTGGCAGCACCGGCTGTATCAGTATATGCTCCAAATTAGGGAGTTGAGAAAGATATTGGCTGGTTGCAAAGGCCCTGTAACAACGGATCATAATTTGTGAATCGGTTTGAGAAGGCCTACAAACTAAATGTGATGAAGCAGTATTATAAGAAACTGGAATTATTATTAATATTATATTATTATTATAAGTTTGGCCTTATTTCCCAGTAAACTGTGCATACATGTACCAAAACACAATATGTATAAGCTTGGCCTCGTCTACTGGTGGTCTGTAGAAAATATATATAACTGTTTATGATTTTCCAGGCCTTAGCTCCATGAATGATTGTCATTAACAAATCTTAAAACCCCAGATTGATTTCTTGATTCAGGGCGTGATCTCGCTACATCAAATGTTTTTGTGATCATATGCATGTTGTGGTTGTATTTTAATTCAATAGAATACATATTTTTGAGACTTTAATTACGCTCTATCAAAGGATTTTCCCTGCTTATTATTAGATCACGTTATTGTTTTAAATTATGCAAAATTGGATAGTTTGATATTTTTTTAATTCAAGACTGAATAAAGTTTTAATTTTAATTTGTTTCAGATACATTCCGCCGCATTGGTGGGGAAAGAGCGGCCATATACAGACCATTGTCTATGCAAAGTTAGGCAGAGTAAGCTCCCCTTTCCCTAAGGGAGAGCGTCACCATGTTGTCTTGCCTGATGGGGCCACCATAATATATGATGTTTTCCAACCACACAGAGCCCATGAATCAGGAGGTAAGTGTATATAGTATATATATGTATTTATCATATGAATACCGTGTTATGCAGTGTCATAAAGCCATCACGTAAATTATGTTTATGTAACGTGTGTAATATCACTTCGGAAGTAACATCACAATCAAATTGTAATCAATATGTCGCAATTTTCATCGTTTCAGAGGCGGCCATATGCAAAATATTTGTTTCAGATCACAATTATACAGCTTACTTTGTATTTTATAATAAAAAAAATCTGTCATTCGTTTCCTTTCTTTTAAAATTTATGATGTATACTCGTTTCAGATTTTTCTTATTTGCTCCCCAGAGGCTCGCAAACATGAAAAATCCAAAACTTCACAAAATCACAATTCTAATATGAAGGGAAACTTATGACAGATCCTCTTTATATTAAGTCCATGGGTTGTATTTGATGTCCAATTTTGGGGCAAAATTTAAGCCCCATTATTATAACCTATCGGGTAATTTGAGGTTTAATTTTTCCAAAATAAAATAAAATTGAATTTGTTTCTTTTTGACAGTGTCTTATCTAGTAAACACTTATAAACAATTATTGTAATGGATCTGGAAAAGATTTCAGACATGTACCACATAAACCCTTGTAAATGTAATGGTGGAGCCCATTGTTGTATTAATCATTAAAGGGAGATAATTGCTACCATGGTTACTGTAAATTTGAAATGGGAGAGAAAAAATGCAAGGCCAGACTGGGGTTTGAACCCGGGACCCTCCGAATTCTAGACGGACGCTCTACCAATTGAGCTATCTAGTCGCCAACGATCGACACAGTCCAGGTTTGCTACCGTTGTCTCCTTGGATAACCCGTTATCTGTAAAATAATTTTGCATTTATTTCTAGGTGACTTTATAATCCTAGTCATCCTCGATACACCAAGGGTTACGCTCACTTACACTCTCTGCACCTCTGGAATATGTCATAACAAAATTGAATGCACGCTGCTAGCTATCTTATTGGTCTTGGTTAAAAAACTTACCAATCGCTCAGCTGATAGTGATAAATGTCTTTTGAAGATTACAAACGGGCGATACCTGACTTCAATTTTACCAGTATGCAACAAAAAATTGTTTGATGTACATCAAAGGATCAAACTAGCCTTTTTGTCTCACCCACAAGGTGGCGCACATGAGCCTTCAACTTGGCTAGGACATACTCCAAGAGTGCAGAGAGCGTAAGTGAGCGTAACCCCTGGAGTATCCAGGATGCATCACAGTGTGTTTTTGGGATATCAAACTCTGGTGATGTCCATTATAAGTCAATAATATATTTTTGTATCTATTTATAGGTGACTATACTATCACAGTTTGTCCGGGGATTGCTAATTCCAGCGAGGCATCCTACATCTGTACGTTCGTGAACTACGCCCAGGAGAATGGCTACCGCGTCACCGTCCTCAACCATATCGGTGCTATACGAAGTGTCAAAATTACAAGCTCAAGAATTTTCACCTATGGTAAGATTAAACCCTTTCACCCCTATATAACTTCAGGAGACTCTACCATGCATTGATCTGGATGAATCCATTATGGTCTACAGTGGTGAAAGGGTTAATTCCTATATCCCCTAACAATGAAGTCCGAATTGATACCTTGTTCAGTTGGTCATTTGTCCGTTTGTTTGTTTGTTTGTTTGATTTTGTTTGATTTTGTTTGTTTAGTTGTTTGATTTTGTTTGATTTTGTTAAACGTCCTATTAACAGCTAAGGTCATTTAAGGACGGCCTCCCCTGTGTGCAAGATGCATGTGTAGTGTATGTGTGTGTATTTTGGGAGGCTGCAATATGTTCATGTAGACAGGATCTTGTCAAAATGTCCCTTAGTTCATGTTTCTTTTTACTGTAAATTGTTTATATGAGCCAAACATACAAAATGAGTTAATATGTAGTGGCGATCACATCAACGCAAGCCATCATGGAATTTCTATTATGTAGATTATTTAGCATAAAAATTAGTGTTTAGTGAATTTGAAAACATCATCTGAACCGAAAGTAACATGAAGTGAAGTGACAGTAAAGTGGAAGGTTTCTTACTTGGAACCATTCTTTCTGATGTGTATATGATTGTCCTTGAGCAATTTTAGTGGTTTTATTTGTCTAACAAACCTTTGAAATACATAAAAAAGGAAAATTACCAAAACAGAACGAAATATTTCGACTGGTGAATTTGTTTGTAGAAAGTTGTTTTAAGTCTGATTGAAATTTTAAGAGATGTGGTAATTATATAACGAGGAAAATATATCCATAAATGATCAGTCTAAGATAGCTCTATAGTCAATCTGCCACACTTTATGCTTGTATGTATTATTTAAAAAATGTCAATTAAAGTTTGTTTAATTCATATTAACCAAAACCATTTAAAAAAGAAGTAAAACAAAACATTGAAAAGAAAAGGAAGTCATTTGGAAGACAGGACTGTTTTACAAAAGAATTAATATGGTTTACTCAGTGTTGCAGGGTTGTATTAGTTTTAACTAATCCTAAGATAAACATTTCAAAAAGTGCAGTGAGTGATGGCTACGAATTATAAAGGTAGAGTCATTATTAAAGATAGGGAAAGAAAATCACACCTGTTGTCTTTACATATAGGTGGTACTGAAGAGTTCCACACGATGATACAGGAAGTGAGACAGATGTATCCTGGGACCAACCTCATCGCCTGCGGCTTCAGTATGGGTGCTAACATTGTCGTCAAGTATCTCGGCGAGAAACCGAAAAACCAGCAGCAGTTCCTGTGTGCCTTATCAATCTGTCAGGGTTACGATGTTAATCAGTAAGTCAGGGGAGATAATGTCTGTCAGGGGAAATAACCTCAGTCGAGGGAGTAAATCTCTAAAGTAGTTCAAGGGAGTTAATCTCTGTCAGTAAAGAGAGGTAATCTATGTCAGCGGAGATAACCTCTGTCAGAAGAGATAACATCAGTCAGGGGAGATAACCTCTGTCAGAAGAGATAACATCAGTCAGGGGAGATAACCTCTGTCAGAGAGATAACCTCTGTCAGAGAGATAACCTTAGTCAAGGGAGATAACCTCTGTCAGAAGAGATAACCTCAGTCAAGGGAGATAATCTCAGTCAAGGGAGATAATCTTGGATGGGGAGATAATCTAAGTCAAGGGAGATAACCTCTGTCAGAAGAGATAACCTCAGTCAAGGTAGATAATCTTTATAGAAGATAATGGAGTTAGTCTCTGTCAGTCAGGGGAGATAACCTCAGTCAAGGGAGACAAGCAGAATAAGTCAGAGAAATATTTTAAGTCAGTCAAAATTGTTTTTGGGGTGAGCCCCCTGGTAATATTGCTTTTTCTGAGTAATCGAAAATTCCATGTCACTCCTGCCCCCTTTTTATCCAATGATGGAACATTTTAGTGGATAGATGTCATGTTTTCTTTAGTTGCCATCTTCATCATGTGTCAATTTCCAATCAGAAAACATTTAGGAAATTTGTGTCGAGGTTTGAAGCTCGGATCACCACATGATTGGTACCTGATTATTTTAACAATGTGACGGGAAAGGACCTGAATAATTTCCAATTGGAAAAATATCCACTGTAATATTTCTAAGGTGCTGTCATTTATAACATGATTTGTAAGATTTTTAGTGGAAAGGTTTATATAGAGGTTTTACAACAGAAACATTATGTAAAAAAAGAAAATACATGAATCGGGGCTAGACGATATGGGTAGCCCAGTAGTCTGAGACTAGTGACACAGGACCAGACAATAAGGGTAGCCCAGTAGTCTGAGGCTAGTGACACGGGACTAGACAATAAGGGTAGCCCAGTAGTCTGAGACTAGTGACACAGGACCAGACAATAAGAGTAGCCTGTTAGTCTGAGACTAGTGACACAGAACCAGACAATAAGGGTAGCCTGTTAGTCTGAGACGAGTGACACAGGACCAGACAATAAGGGTAGCCCGACAGTCTGAGACTAGTGACACAGGACTAGACGATATGGGGGGAAAGGACCTGAATAATTTCCAATTGGAAAAATATCCACTGTATTATTTCTAAAGTGCTGGCATTTATAACATGATTTGTAAGATTTTTAGTGGAAAGGTTTATATAGAGGTTTTACAACAGAAACATTATGTAAAAAAAGAAAATACATGAGTCGGGGCTAGACGATATGGGTAGCCCAGTAGTCTGAGACTGGTGACACAGGACTAGACGATATGGGTAGCCCCGTAGTCTGAGACTAGTGACACAGGACTAGACAATATCAGTAGCCCAGTAGTCTGGGACTAGTGACACAGGACCAGACGATATGGGTAGCCCAGTAGTCTGAGACTAGTGACCCAGGACTAGACGATATGGGTAGCCCAGTAGTCGGAGACTAGTGACACAGGACCAGACAATAAGGGAAGCCCGATAGTCTGAGACTAGTGACACCGGACCAGACAATAAGGGTAGCCTGATAGTCTGAGACTAGTGACACAGGACCAGACGATATGGGTAGCCCAGTAGTCTGGGACTAGTGACACAGGACCAGACAATAAGGGTAGCCTGTTAGCCTGAGACTAGTGACACAGGCCCAGACAATAAGGGTAGCCTGTTAGTCTGAGACGAGTGACACAGGACCAGACAATAAGGGTAGCCCAGTAGTCTGAGGCTAGTGACACAGGACTAGACGATATGGGTAGCCCTATAGTCTGAGACTAGTGACACAGGACTAGACGATCTGGGTAGCCCAGTAGTCTGAGACTAGTGACACTGGACTAGACGATATGGGTAGCCCAGTAGTCTGAGACTGGTGACACAGGACTAGACGATATGGGTAGCCCTATAGTCTGAGACTAGTGACACAGGACTAGACAATGAGGTTAGCCCAGTAGTCTGAGACAAGTGACACAGGACTAGACGATATGGGTAGCCTGATAGTCTGAGACTAGTGACACAGGACTAGACAATATCAGTAGCACAGTAGTCTGAGACTAGTGACACAGGACTAGACAATGAGGTTAGCCCAGTAGTCTGAGACAAGTGACACAGGACTAGACGATATGGGTAGCCTGATAGTCTGAGACTAGTGACACAGGACTAGACAATATCAGTAGCACAGTAGTCTGAGACTAGTGACACAGGACTAGACAATATCAGTAGCCCAGTAGTCTGAGACTAGTGACACAGGGCTCGACGATATGGGTAGTCCAGTAGTCTGAGACTAGTGACACAGGACTAGACATTGAGGGTAGCCCAGTAGTCTGAGACTAGTGACACTGGACTAGACGATATGGGTAGCCCAGTAGTCTGAGACTAGAGACACAGGACTAGACGATATGGGTTGACCAGTAGTCTGAGACTAGTGACACAGGACTAGAAGATATGGGTAGCCCAGTAGGCTGAGACTAGTGACACAGGACTAGACGATATGGGTCGCCCAGTAGTCTGAGACTAGTGACACAGGACTAGACAATGAGGTTAGCCCAGTAGTCTGAGACAAGTGACACAGGACTAGACGATATGGGTAGCCCCGTAGTCTGAGACTAGTGACACAGGACTAGACAATATCAGTAGCCCAGTAGTCTGGGACTAGTGACACAGGACCAGACGATATGGGTAGCCCAGTAGTCTGGGACTAGTGACACAGGACCAGACGATATGGGTAGCCCAGTGGTCGTGCTGTCATTTTTAACATGATTTGTAAGATTTTTAGTGGAAAGGTTTATATAGAGGTTTTACAACAGAAACATTATGTAAAAAAAGAAAATACAGGAATCGGGGCGAGACGATATGGGTAGCCCAGTAGTCTGAGACTAAAGACACAGGGCTAGACGATATGGGTAGCCCAGGAGTCTGAGACTAGTGACACAGGACTAGACGATCTGGGTAGCCCAGTAGTCTGAGACTAGTGACCCAGGACTAGACGATATGGGTAGCCCAGTAGTCGGAGACTAGTGACACAGGACCAGACAATAAGGTTAGCCTGTTAGTCTGAGACTAGTGACACAGGACCAGACGATATGGGTAGCCCAGTGGTCGTGCTGTCATTTTTAACATGATTTGTAAGATTTTTAGTGGAAAGGTTTATATAGAGGTTTTACAACAGAAACATTATGTAAAAAAAGAAAATACAGGAATCGGGGCGAGACGATATGGGTAGCCCAGTAGTCTGAGACTGGTGACACAGGACTAGACGATATGGGTAGCCCCGTAGTCTGAGACTAGTGACACAGGACTAGACAATGAGGTTAGCCCAGTAGTCTGAGACAAGTGACACAGGACTAGACGATATGGGTAGCCCGATAGTCTGAGACTAGTGACCCAGGACTAGACAATAAGGGTAGCCCGATAGTCTGAGACTAGTGACACAGGACTAGACGATATGGGTAGCCCGATAGTCTGAGACTAGTGACACAGGACTAGACAATAAGGGTAGCCCGATAGTCTGAGACTAGTGAAATCTCCAGCTGGACTAGTGGTTCTGAAATCTGCCCAATTGACTAGCCAAATCTTTGTATTATTACTTATCATTTTGAATAATTTTGGGTAAGTGGAACTTGCATGTGGGCTTTTAAAAGTTAAAACTATAGACCAGACTGATTAGTGATGTGTTGTTACCTCTTTTGCTCAGATTTTTTTTTTTTCAATCAGAACAGTGACAATTCGGAATATAAGCATTAAATGTTTATTCTTTTAAAAATAAGCTGGACAATCACTGGAAAAAATCAAGAACTTTTCTTCAATTACAAAGCAATAATCAAATTATAGACATCAATGTACATGTATACCGGATAGAAGTATTTGACAAATGTAATTTGTTTATTTATTTATTTGAGAGGGTGGTATAGAGGACTTTAATTGTCCTGAACCAGAAATAAACTTAACTTAACTTAACTTAACTCATTCACCACTGAAATTTCATAATGAACTATTCCAACCTTTGAATTGGAAGAGTTCAAATGTGTCTTCAGGGGTGAATGAGTTGACTAACTTAACTTGACATGACTTATGTTATGGCAATGCTAATGGATCTGAGAGAGGAACAACAACATTTGTTCTCGGCTCCATCTTTTATTCAGGTAGGGGTGCCACACAACTAAAACGGGGTACCAGAGCCAACCAAGGGAGATCACTCTAGTTACATAGGTATAGGTTAAACACTACCATTATACAATACATATACGATGTCGTCATATTGTTACAAGTGGTTTATAAAATTGTTTTCTAGTCCTGCATGAATGCACACGTTAATTAAGTGAAATCTTATTCCAGTGCCACGTCGCTGCTCCAAGACTGGCGGTACCTGCGTCGCGTTTACCTGTACGCCATGACAGCTAACCAGAAGGGGATGATGACGCGCCACCAGGACATCCTGATGGATCAAAAACTTCTACAGACGTGTGACATCGACGCCGAGAAAATCTACAGCTCTACCTCGCTGATAGAAATCGACGAACTTTACACCAGGTAGAGAGTGATGCAAATAATTTGTATTTCGCGAGGTTTTAATTTTCTTGTAAAGTAACGAGAAGAGGCTATTAAAAACTCAAAAATCTTATTGTAAGTGTTTAGACCGAAAGGGAAACTTACAGAATATACAACAATGGAAATCAACTGTATATTGGGATATTTTTTACGAAGGTTAATTTTTGTTAAGACCCTGCCAGCTTTTGTAAACACAATTCAGGTTATCTGGTACTCTGACACAGAAATTAGGAATCCCAACACTGATGTACCGAAGAATGAGGGGAGATATGATTAACGTCTATAAAATTATGAACAATTTTCACGACAACAAAGTTACTGCTGGCATCTTTGATCAAGATTCAACATCTAGAACAAGAGGGCATACACAAAAAATGAAGAAAAAATATTGTAAATTAGATGTTAGGAAAAATTCATTTTGCTACAGAACTGTTGATATGTGGAACAGTCTTCCCGAGGCGGTCATACAGGCTACAACAATTAAAGACTTTGAAATGAGTTTGGACAATCATTGTAAACATCTTGAACTGCAATTTAATCACCTAGCTAGCTACAAATCCAACAATGGGAGTGATTTTTAAATTAAAATTGTTATATTATATGATATGGACATTTGCCTGCGTCCATCATCTATTCTATTAAATCCTATTAAATCCTACAATGTTAACTCCTTGTTGCTGTATCTACAGGAGAAGGCTGGGGTTCGAGTCCCTCCAGGAATACTACAGCTGGTGCAGTTGTCAGCCCTTCATGCATGACGTAAGTACAGAACCGCAACCAAATTACCTCCCTTGCTCATGACGTAAGTACCAAGTAAACCACCACCAAAATTGCTCGAGTTTTGTTGATGTATGAGATTACTCTCTCATAATGAGTTTTCTATAATTTCACTTAAAAAAATAGTACAGTGTCTTTAGTTGATAAAAAAAAAAGAGCATGTTTAAAATCAGACATTTATTGCTTGCAAGAACAAATAAAAATATTGTCCTCATTGTAAATGTAACAAAAGCCAGAATTGAGCATAAAATAAATAAATACCAGGGTACCTTCCTCATTGTTCTTAATGGAATTTCATGGAACTTGATACAAGTGTTTGGTATGACAAAACCTTGAACAAGTTCGCATTTCTGGTTACTGTGTTAAAGGGCGAGGGGATTTGTATCAATAATTTGATATTATACATTATGATAAACTAAACACTTAATACTTCCCTGTAAACAGGTTTTACATTTTTCCCAAAAATAAGTGCTTATCAAAAAGCTTCTTTGTGGCACATAATCCAATACCTAATTTATAATACGTGATATTTGGTTACAGATTGAGATCCCGCTGTTTCTGTTGAATGCTGAAGACGACCCAATCATACCAATGCCCTTGGTTGACGTGGCTAAGGATTATGCAAGTAAGTATTCAGCACAAATTGTACAAATTGTGTTAAGGGTGCATGCTACCTTACTGTCGCGTGTATCTCCCTCTGAAAAAGAGTATTTGTACTAAGAAACCTGTTCAGTTTGATGATATTTGATATGATGTCCTGTCTGGATCTATGATTGGTAAAAGTTACTAAAACACAGTCTCATATCCGATAGTGATGGGCTGATTATCGATTATAATAAAATAAATGATCGATTTGCCCTTTCAGATTCTGATTATTGATTACAAATTCCAGAATTATTCAATTAATATAATCGGTTCATCATTGAAATCAAAGAGTTTAAAGTCTTCCACTTAAATTTTGCTCAGAAAGTCATATATTCTTATGATTTTTACTAGATATATGATTGTTGAAAATGCAAAATAGACACCTTTCCCCCTTAATTTAAAAAAAAGACACCAAGTAAAATATCATTTGCAAGTGAAGTTAGCTAGATTGAAATAGTATTGATACAAAATTAACACATTTTAAATAACTTATTTTTTTTGTTTTTAATTCTGTCGAGTTTACAGATTATATGTATAAACCTCCCAAAATGAATTAGGGCTATAGGACTTACCTCCCCTTGGTAAATTTGGTACATTCAATACAATGAGATTCATGAGTTTGGAAATGTGTGATATCAAAGTTTTACTTTCTACACAAACAATACGTACCTTGTTTGTGTAGAAAGTAAAACTTTGATATAATATCAGTACATGTGCATCACAACACGAAAAGCAACGCTTTGTCTATATTTTACCATGACAGAAATCACTGAAACTTGAATTTTTATTTCTTTATTTTTGAAACATACTCTCTGAAAATCAAGCAGTTTCTATACTTAATATATCCAACCATGAATTTTTCAGTGTTTATTAGAAATTCTTATTTCCCATAACTTACAGTACATACCAGTAATTTCTGATTTCCATGGACTTTGTTAAAAGTTAAAGAAAATCTCTAAAACAAATTGAGCCAAAAATATGACATTAATGATTATTTTTACAGTAAAACATGACAAGAGTCTGCTAGCAGTGACCAAACATGGCGGGCATCTTGGATACTTCGAGGGTCAGGGTCTGTGGGCAGATCCCATCACCTGGCTGGACCGGTCCATTATCCAGTACGCCAATGCCATCGTTGCCTTCCACATCCGCGGGAAATTGTGATGTAGAATTAGTCTGAGTGATAAGTAATCTATCTGTCTGTGCCTGGAGATTTCTGATAGTTTTCCACTGTTGCCTTGTACTTCTGTGGGAAATTGTGATGTAGAATTAGTCTGAGCGATAAGTTATCTATCTGTCTGTGCCTGGAGATTTCTGATAGTTTTCTGATAGTTTTTCACTGTTGCCTTGTACTTCTGTGGGAAATTGTGATGTAGAATTAGTCTGAGTGATAAGTTATCTAACTGTCTGTGCCTGGAGATTTCTGATAGTTTTCTGATAGTTTTCCACTGTTGCCTTGTACTTCTGTGGGAAACTGTGATGTAGAATTAGTCTAAGCGATAAGTTATCTAACTATCTGTGCCTGGAGATTTCTGATAGTTTTCCATTGTTGCCTTGTACTTCTGTGGGAAATTGTTAGGTAGATTATTACGTTTTAGAGAGAGTCATCTAGATGTTTGTTTCAGGTGCTTCACACAATGTTATCTGTTATCAAGTTCACCAACCCTTTCGCCTTCGAAATGTGGAGGAAATTGTGATCACTGTTGATTTTACATTTAACCCTTTCACCCCTAGGTAACTCTACCGTACATTTATCTGGATGAGTCCATTGTGGTCTTCAGTGGTGAAAGGGTTAAAGGTTTCCATGGTTACAGTGAAACAGAAAATATTTAAATCTTTTGTGAAATTTTACATTTTGAAACAAAAAACATATGCTATTCACAATTGTAGAGTCCTTAGAAAATGTATGCAGACTGTAAATCCTCCATGTCCTTAACTCTTTCACCCCTATATAACTTTAGTAGACTCTACCAGGCACTGATCTGGATGAATCCATTATGGTCTACAGTGGTGAAAGGGTTAATAGAACCATGAAGATTATTGAAAAATGTCTTCATTTAGAGTCAATTCAGGTGTCTGTAAAAGTGAAATTTCGCCGAAAGTGAAATCGTGTCGTTTCTGGATATTTTCTTAGTTAGGTACTGTCTGCTTTTCCTTGAGTTTTCCTTCACTCAGAAACAGATTTTTGATGCGGATAGATTAGCATGACCATTCATGAAACTTTCTTACATGAATATCCCGTTGATAAACGAGATAATTATTGACCAATCAGAGCTTTTGTACTGATTGTGAACCATTTGTATACAGACATATGCCCAGAGCACATTCCATCATTTTAACAACCTAAAGGAGAAAAGAAAATCATAAAAAACGATTTAAGATTATAGCCATATTTGGACCGGAACATACACACAGCAAAAATTGTGTTGTTCAATGCAATTTCGTTGCAAACTGATTTCTCTTCAGATAGAAATTGATGCTGATGGAAATTTAAATCCTGAAAATTGAGTTTCAGGAAATCCTGGGAAAGTAGTATATAGAAGTCGATCTAGGTTTCAGTTGAATTATAAGAAAGTATAAACAGAATATGCAGAAGTTTTGAAATTTTCTTGAAAATATATTTGAATCCAATGAGTCCATTACATTTTCAACTATAAAAAATTAAATTACATGTACACTGTAGTAAATATGTATAACTGATAACCCGATATATTGTGATGGGGTTGACACAGGTACATATTGATTTGTATTGTGAATTTAATACAACTTCTGATAATAGTTGGAGTTATTCCCCTTCGTAGAATCCAAGGGGGTGGGGTGGGATGGGGGGTGGGGTCGAGGGTTTAGTGTTAAGTTTGGAGTGGTGTTTGCTGTTGTTAATTATGTATAAGAGAGAGGTGCTAAGAAGTGTACCAATATACGTGATGTTAATGTAAATCTTTGTAGCGGAGTTGGACTGTGTCGATCGCTGGCGACCAGGCCCAGGGATCATGAAACATTCTTAGACTTAAGATTTTGCTTAGCCAATCACATGGGCGTCACTTTTCATGATGTTATTTGTGATTTGCTAAGTAAGACAAATTTAGACTTAAGATAGTTTTATGATCCTGAGGCTAGGTAGCTCAATCGGTTAGAGTGTCTGTCTAGAGTTTGGAGGGTCCCGGGTTCGAACTCCGGTCTTGCTGTACATTTTTTTCGCTCCTCTTACATCTCAACACATTGACCCCTGAAATTTCATAATGAACTATTCCAACCTTTGAATTGGAGGAGTTCAAATTTGTCATCAGGGGTAAATCATGAGGTAATAAACAAAAAATACAAACTGTTGGAGAGATATTTGTAATAAGTTTGGTATGAATGATAAAGGCTAAGTTTGTTTTGAAAGAGTTTGTATGATAATCGACCATGTTCTTACAGATAAAGTATTTTTATCACCCAATGACTATTTATAATGTCAGATAATCATAGCTTTATTGTCCTGTTAAGTATAAGAATTTAGAAAGCTGGTTTTGAAAATATCGTTGTTGCAATCATTAGGTGTAATTGATGTTTATATGTTGATGTTATGTGTGAACTACAGAGGGTTCATACAGATTTGAAAGTCCTCCATTTTACAGGTCTGCCTTAGAAAGTTCTTGAAAATGAACATTGCCTTAGAAATCACTTAAAAATGAAAACTGCCTTGAAAAATGTCCTTAATAAAAACCGCCTTGAAAAATGTCCTAAATACTGTTGATGAATATGAATTTAGAATGCTTGTTTTGAAAGCATCGATGTTGCAATAATAAGAATTAGAAGTATGTGTAGTGTATATTCAGATGTTCGATACTATGTGTGAATAACAGATTTGAAAAGTCCTCCGTTTTACAGGTCTGCCTTAGAAAATCCTTGAAGATGAACTTTGCCTTAGAAATTACTTGAAAATGAAAAACCGCCTTGAAAAATGTCCTAAATAAAAACCGCCTTGAAAAATGTCCTAAATAAAAACCTGCCTTGAAAAATATTGAAATCTGTTGATGAATAAGAATTAAGAAAGCTGATTTTTATAACATCGATGTTACAATTATTATGTATCGGAAGAATGTGTAGTTGTATGTAAGGGGAGATAACTGTGTAATATTTACGGTAGCGTCCCAGCACTCTTTGATGAATTTCCCAAGAGAAGAGTTCCGATTTAGTTGGCATTTTCCATATCGGGAGTTGGTTGCTTATTTTCGATAGGAAAGAATTTATACGAAAGAAACATGTTTTAGTTTTCATTTTCACGAAAACATACTTGCACTGCCACAGGTATTCTAACCCTGAACCTATAGTGAAACAGCGAACCAATCCACTGCAATACCAGGCATGATATTTGTTTATACTGTAAAAGATGTGCATTGATTAGGTTGCCTTACAAGCTCAGCGGTGGAGCATCAGGCTGAAGAGCCAAGGGTCGCGGGTTCGAGCCCCAGCGACGGCACTATTTTTATCACTATTCCTCGTCCTATTACAAATTGGTGCTGTTGACCCTCCCTGTTCAAGGTAGGAGAACCCTTGCCGGGGAGTCTAAGAACCTGGGTTGGTGTTTGAAAAAAGGGGGGAATAGTGTAAAAGACGTGCATTGATTGGGTTGCATCAGCTGTAAGGAATTTCCCTTTAACTCAGTGGTAGAGCATCAGGCTGGAGAGCCAAGGGTCGTGGGTTCGAGCCCCAGCGACGGCACTATCTTTAACTATTCCTCGTCCTACTACAATACTTTTTGTAAGAATTTCAGAATGTTTTAGCTCCCAAAAATGGTCTCCAACCTCAAACTGCTTTTATATGAATATCGAGGTAAAACTAAATAATACCTGAAAAATAATTTTTCAATGAATGTATTCAGGAGAAAAGTTGTGGGACTCTCTATCTTTTAGGGAGTAGCATTTTTTGGAACTGTTTTTCTTAGTTTTGCATTTTACGGACAATTTCGTTGACAGACACTTCTGCTGTCAGTTGGTAGGTATGGAGGGCTTTCTGTTTTGGTATTGATATATTCCCTGTATGTAATATAATTGTAACATTTCTGTATATCTATATGTCTGAGAATGTGACCAAAAGATTTGCTTTACATAAATTGAACATTTGATAATTATATTTATTCATTTTCTTCTGCAGTCAATATATAATCACAATATTGAACTTATTCACAGTTTGGGCGTCGGCCTAGCTAGAGGCTGACCATATATCTGATCTGGATTTCTCGCACTTGAGACAGGGACATCCACATAAAACCCTGTACTAGATTTTTCTATCTTGTCGAATCTGTCTGGCGCCTTTACGTGACATTTGGAGGAATTTTCACACAGCGCTGTGTTGTTATATGTATTGTTTTGATGTTGTTGGATTCCTGATGTTGTAGAAAAATTATAATATACATTGTGAAATACGTTGTCTTTGCAAGGAAAGATGACATTTTTATGCAGAAGCATTCAAATAAAGCTTTAGTGGTGAATAGGCCATTTTTATTTGAGGCCTCAGATGGGATACTTGTAGATTCCAGCAAAATGAAATAGTTTTTCGAACTAAAAGGTGCAAGAAAAAAGTCAAGTCTCTCAGTTACAGGTAATATATTTAATTATTATAGGCATTTGCCTGCATTCAGTACTGTTATATTATTATTTACTACAAACGAAACCTACAGATTTCCTCAAGTCAGTATTTACAGTATTTTTCCTAAAAAGTGCTATTGGTATTAAGAAATAAGTTCGGAAAAACATTTCTCAATGCAGAATTTTTCCAAAGTGTTCCAAATAAAAGATGTAGTAGACTTTTTTTTGAAGTAATTTAACAGGATATGGTCATTAGTTGAAGGGAAGCGGTGCTTTAATCAAAACAGGGATAGGGGGCACTTACAAGGTTAGGGGATGGAATATGGTAATTAATATTATAAGGCTTTGTCGAGGGTTTTGCTGAATTTGAAAATCCCAAGGAAGGAGTTTCTCTATCCTGCGCCCTTGGGCATGAAAGAGTATTTTTCTCTCATTCCAACAACCAGAATAAGCTCAGAAAGCATGGAAATTTGTTTGGACTGGCATCTATTTAAAAAATATAAATCCCCCCCCCCTGAGCTTTTTTTTTTACGAAAACAAATCTGTCATTGATATTTTGCATACCACATATTTGCAAACAGAGTTTTTGCACAGAAAAACTAATCTCATCTTTCTAACGTGAATTGGGATGTAAGATAGAAATTTCCTACACCCATTTCTTATTCTGGGCAGCTCTATATTGCACACATGGAAATGAGAGAAATACAAATACGGTCATATGTTTCCGTGCGTTTTTTTTTTTTTATTTTTTCCGTTTTTTTTTCTTGTTTTCTTTCTTTTTTTTCTTGCCTGTTTTTTTCCCTAGTTTCCACTTAGATTTTACATATAGATGTAGACATTTGAAATTTTCTGTTTTGTTTTGTAACCTGAGATGGTAAACTGATTTTACCAAAAATCTGATTATCAAGATCTTCAGCTTTTGAGTTCCTTTACAATTTAATTACATCATACTAAGAGATCGTAATCAACTACATACTTACTTGTTACATTATTGCTGCCATTTTTGTTATTTTTGGTCATTATTTTCATCTTTAATGAAGTAACAAAATGTAGCGTTCATGAAAAGTAACAAAAACCATGTGTCCAAAATACTAAAAAACCGTTACATCCAACAGTACATCAACTATCATTAATCTTGTCGAAGTTATATTTTTCTATTTCACGATCATGGTGGCTGTTTTATATTTCAATCGCTCAAATTTTGTTAAATGTATTCTT